GGGGTCGTGATCAGGAGGAAGTAATTCAGGGCTGTTGACGTCTGTTAGAGGGTTGGGAGTTGTTAGTTTAGAAGACGATTAGTAGGCAGAGGAGAATGATGATTAGTAATGTAGTAGGTGAAGGACGAAAGACTGAAACGAAGTTTGCAGATTAACCGACAAACTAACAGTGCATCTTACATTGTTGCTGATTCAGAAGTTTATTCACCGGTTTTAAAGATGGTGCAGTTGGTAGGATTAAAAAATTTCAGAAAAACGAGAGCTGGAAAAAGCAATAACTCTGTTATAGCACTGATTTGAAACATTGTCATCATTATTGTTGAATATTGTATCAAATGAGGTCTTCTGGGAACAAAATCAAAAATGCGTTATCGGACTAGAGGGTATATTTCGTACTTACAACCTGAGTGGCGTTGACTTTTCTTATGAAAGTTTTTTTCGCTGTTAACGGCGTTACCAAGTGGACGGCAAAAAATCTAGTTTGGTGTTTAATAACCGGCTGGAAGTTCTGACATCATTAATTTTCAACGCTAATATCTATATCTGTATGTGTGTGAAAAATGAAGTGAAGTTATAAGCTTGAATGCAAAAGTTGGAAATGTTATTAAAAATTATGTGCGCTAAACTGTTTTATGTTGTTTTTGCAGGGGTTTAGAAAAGTTGGGTAAACAAAAATTGTGCTGGGGAGAGTGGTGCTTCTGTTGTTGCACGGGTTGAATTATGTTTTTCAAACCTGCTTAGCTGCTTTGCCATTAGTTTGCTGAAGCAGCATTTCTTGTTCAGTGAGTGATTGATAATCGGGGCAACAACAGCGTAACAAATGTCAGTTATGCAAATTTTACAAAGTTGCAAAACTCATAGCTTTTGGTCAGGTGAAAAGTGGTGAACATTTAGAAAAATCGCGTGGGATTTAAATGGAAGGCAAAAAACCACAAGGAAAGGAATACCCGACAAAATGTTTGTTACGTGATCTTGTAAATCTAAAATGTTGAAGGAAGGTTTAAGTAAGGCTTGTTTTTCTTACAACTTAAGGGTAAAAATTTTTGTTTGTTTCACTACTGGGTAAATAATGGGTTCAATCTTTTTTTTTCAACGCTCATCTAATTTTTATCCAATTTTTCACTTTTTTTTTTGTTTTGCTTTGTTGGTTATGTGAATTCATCAACATAAATATTTACTTTCTGTTTATTTTTACAATTAATCCGTGTTCTATTTTATTAAGTCATCTAAATTTCTTTTGCTGCTTAAAATTGAGTTGGCGTTATTTTCACCTGTAAAAGATGACCAAATGTCAAAAAGATTTCCGACGTTAGAAGTAAAAACAAATGTTTATTAGGTTTGTCCAAACTGCAGAATAGCGGTTTAGTGGCTTTTTGAAGTTATAAATTATGTATTGTATGATGGCATCAGTTGGCAGTATAATTAAGCATTCTGGACGTCAAACAAATAATAATAATTTGCAGTTAATTCTTTGTATTGGCACTGTTTTTTCTTTTTTTTTTTTTTTGTCTTGCTTATACCCACTATTTAAATGTGATAAGTTTAGTTTAATCTGTTGTTTGCTACTATGGAGTAGTAAACGGACGTGTATGGACGATATGGACGACAGTTGAAGAAAACCTGATACTTGGCGAGGACAGAATTGGTTTATCTGTGTGGAATGCGGAAACCGTAGTTATTCACCCATAATGCAGATATTTTGTTAATTGTTAGTCCTGTTTACTCAACTTTAAAATATCATTTATTGGCTCAGATACGGTACGTTTTAAAACTTTCGTTTATAACAGTTGTTGATTAAAAAAGATCTTTTTTTTTTTTGCTTGTTTTTATAATTTGTGTAGATAAATAGCTGTTGTAAGGGGGGTGGGGGGAGGGAGAGGGGGTATCAAAATTATTGTCATTTGTGTGAAATATTAGTAACTATTTTAATCAATTGAACAATTATACTTAAAAATTTAAAATAAGAACTCTTTTGGTAATGAAGTTTTTGTGTGTGTGTTTTTTTTAATACCAGGTGATAACTGATCAGAAAAAAAGGATCAATTGATTATAAAAGGGGAAAAAAAAATAATATATCTTTTTAAATTGTTTACTTTTTTCTTCTTTTTAATTTTATATTGCAACATAGTTGGCATCATTTGAGATAATGTAGTAATATGTGGTACGTATTTGTTATAAGGCAACCCTTGATCAAAATATTTTTAATATAATATTTTTGATTTAAAAAGAGGCGAAAGAAGAGGAAAAGAAAAGAGCAACAGATATTATTTATTCAAACAGAGTTTATTGTTGTTTTTTTTTTTCTTTTTTTTGCTTTTCAAAATAACCTAAATATCGCTTTAAATGTCGCCACTATAAAATCGAAAATTTGTTATTAAAATTACTACTACCGGAATCACCTGTTCGTAGCCGTCAGCAGAGGGGAGCTAAATCAAAAATAGCAAACAACAGTCGATAAAAATTCACTAATTTAACTCAACCTTTAGATACAGGACAGGCGTGGGTCGAAGAAGTTGTGTAGGAGCGAATTACGGGGAGCAAGAAGTTGCTTGGATTCAACAAATTCAGTAAATAAGTAGCTTCAAAGTGGGACAAACTGACAGAAAAATTACTCAAGAAATTGGAAGAACAACAGAACAGTTGCCTTATTAGCCCGGAAATGTCAATCGACCAGAATAAATTTTATTCAGACTTTTTATTGGGTTTTTTTCTTTTTTTTTATTGTTTCACACCTATTTTTAGCGGCTACGAAGAGTGTAGGAAACTGAATAGGTTTGTGCACCGATAACACTGAATTGAATAAGGGAATTCTGGCATTGTCTAATAATAGATTAAAAAAATTTTCTTTTTTTTTTTTTTTTTCCTGTTTAATCTTTTTAATTATTTTGTGTGTGGCTTTCTAATTGACTGCAAAAAAGGGCAAATAAAGTTTAATTGGGCTCCAAAAAAAAAAAAAAAAAAAAAAAAAAAAGAAAGAAATTGATGGAACTAATTAATTGGGCGCAAAATACATAATACTTCTGTTGTTGACGGACAGATTCTGTTTTCATTTTTGTTAATGTCAATTTTTAAAGTAAAGTAAAGCAAAAAAAAAAAAGAAACAAAAAAAATCAGGAAACTTATTCG